TATTTTGTATTTTAAAACAATCGAGAGAAAAAAAATTAATTCGCAAGAGAATTGAACCATGGCTTACTTGTTCAGAAGCTCTGCGCGCTATCCACTCGGCCGCACTGGCACATTGTTATGCAAAGGTTTTTTAAAACTTTATAATTATTTTTTTAACGGAAAAAAATTTCATAGATCAAAATTAGTGAGAGCTTGACGCAATGCAATTTTCAAAGGAAAATTAAACTGTAAAATTTGATAAATGTTTTAGTATGTTTTAATATATGTTTTAATATTACTTACCCAGTGGGAAGAAAGATATCTTTAGACGAATAAAAGACGTATTTTTTATGACTTGTTATATGGGGAAGGGGAAAATTGACTAACGTTTCCCACTAAGAAACAATTTAAGTTGTTAGTAAGCAAATTATAATTTGCTTATTAAATTATCATAAACAAGTTATTATTTGTTTATTAACAACTTTCGTTGTTAATAAGGAAATTATAATTTGCTTAAGAAAATTGGAAATAATTAATAGCCAATAAAATAATTAATAGCCAATAGAACCTAATAAAGATGGATTTTAACCTTCGACCATATAAACTGATAGACACGCCTTACCGCAAGTTAATATTCACAAAACTTTGAAGCCAACATCTTTTAGCGCGTGACCTCACGTTTGGGCATTAAACAAATAACAATATCGGTTTAGGGTGAATATACATTCACCCTAAACCGATATTGTTAACATTTTTAAAGTTTTATTATTTGTTATGTATATTATTTTGTTTAAATTTTGATTTTCAAATAGAATATAAATATATAAAGATTATGATTTTATCTTGTTTTGCATATAATTGCACTCAAAGATATATTAAAAGGGTTGCTTTTTAAGTGTAAGTAGCTACAAATCATTATTTGCTAAGATCCTTCATTATATTTCTAATATAAATAGCATATTATTTTAATATGCTTATTTTGGTTGGTGGTTTTTCTGAAAGATATGGAATTAAGGAGAAAATGGATACAAGTTAAGTGGAGTGATGGTTTTACTCCTAGTAAACTGTCTAAACGTTGTGGTAAATATTTTACTGGTATAAAAGAAGTCTTTCGAGTTCACAAAAAAAACTAAAAAAAGCAATTTCTTCTATATTTAATTTCCCAACACTTTTATGAAAAAGTATTTGTTCTAGAAAACTACCCAAAAATATAGACAAAGAATTATTTCATATATTACCACCAATGATTCAAATACAGTAAATCTAATGTAACTAATCTTTTTGCAATGGCATATATTGATTTAAAACTTTTAAGTTTAGATTTTGTAACATATATATTGTGTGCCTATATATATATATATATATATATATATATATATATATATATATATATATATATATATATATATATATATATATATATATATATATATATATATATTTTTTATTTTATTTGTCTATTTAATTATTTTAAATATTTCTTTCTTATTTCTTATTAAGTTATACCATTAGAATTATTTTGTTTTAGTCAACCTACTGTTAGAATATGGTTTTAAATTAGTAAGTTTTTATGATTAAAAACTTATTACATTAATCATCAGATAACAGTTAAAGAAAATTTTAATTCATCACAATTACGGTAAGAATAACATCAAGTTAATTATTGTGTTTATCGTAACAGTAATAATTGTTGTTATGAATGTAATGCTTTTGTGATATTTTCATCTATTTCTTGATACCCCAATTAACAATGCCCTATTTTACTTGATTGGGTTTTCAAGTATAAATATGATGTTGTAACTAAAAATGTTTTTATTTAATCTATTTAATTTTATATGTCTGAGTCTACAAAACAGTTATTTTGTCGGATTTTACAAGAAAAGTTAAAAAGCACTACCCACCAGTATTATGAAGCTTTGCTACAACACAGAGTTGTTAGCTCTAGGCCTTGACCTTGACTTAAGGCCTTGGTCTTAAAACTGCTGGTCTTGGTCTTGGCCTTGGTCTTCAAAAAAACTATATAAAAATGAAGAATTAAAAGATTTCATTCTTTATTTTTATGTATTTTTGTTTTCGGCTTCATATATATATCCACAAGTATATTTTTCATTGACTTTAATGAATTTTGGGCATAACCCTGGTTTATTTTTACAACATGTGATTTATTGTCACAGGAATTGTTACCTACAGTTTTGTTAATAATTGACCTTATCGTTAGACAAAAATTCAAGTCATTGAGCTTGAAAATGTTTTTATCCTTGGCCTTAACTTTAAAATTCCTGGCTTTGACCTTGTAACTTTTAGCATTGGTCTTGGCTTTAGCTTTGTAACATGTGGCTTTGGCCATGTCCTTGCTAATTTTAGCCTTGTTAACAACCTTGCTTTAACATTAAATTTTTATTCGGCTAAAGCATATAGTTATGTTAGGAAAACATTTAGTAATGCACTTCTTCATTCTGGAATTATACAAAACGGCAAAAAAGTGTTGACTGTTTCCCTGGATTTTGTAAAGAAGCTTTAGTTACTCTTCATAGCAAAATAAAAGAGGCTCAGAAAATTGGTCAACGTATTGTGTGTTCATTTATGTTAGATGAAATGGCCATTTGAAAAAAAATTGAATAAACAGGCCATAAATTTTCTGGTTATATTGATTTTTGTGCTGATATCAATAATAATAGTTAACCCAAAACAAAAGAAACTTTATTTTTTATGGTAAACTGTGTAAATGGACGTTGGAAACTTCCTGATGTATAATTTTAAATTAATAGTTTGGGTGGTTGTGAAAAATCTATTATTGTTAAGCGTTGTCTGTAATTTATTTATGAAAGTGGTAAAGAAATTATAAAACTAATATTGCTTAGTATTTAAAGATAAGATTGCATCACAAAACTGACTTGATCAACAATTTACTACATAATAAACGTATACAAAGTGTATAAACAAAGCAAATTTAATTTTCGAATTAATAAAAAGTTATTTTGTATATAAATGTAATGGATAATAAAATACATAAAATTGTATTAACTGTTACATTTTCTTATCTAAAAAATCTAAAAATAATAATTGATACAAATGATAAATTTAATAATATTAAAAAAAACAATAATAATAGTAATAAGGTTTACTACAAAATTTTACATTTAATAAACAGTTTTCTATTCTTAAAGCTTTATTTCGCTTGAATCGCGTTTTGTTTTGCCCAAACGTGACGTCACGCGCTAAAAGATGTTGGCTTCAAAATATTTAACTTACGGCGGGTCTATCAGTTTATATGGTCGAAGATTTTAACCCATAGTATCGTAAATGCAATATCTTTGTTACGTTCTGATTGGCCCGTTTTTTATTAACAAAATACTTTTATAAAACTTTTTTTATGTAAAACGTTTTTGCCTAAAAAATTTAATAAAAAATCAAGTATGTTCAGTAAGCGGGTTTATTTTATAATATATGTAATAAAGTAATATATTATATATTATTTATTTACTATAATATATATAAGCATAAGCATTATGTATTTTTACATAATATATTACTTTATTACATAAATTATAGCATATATATATATATATATACATATATATATATATATATATATATATATATATATATATATATATATATATATATATATATATATATATATATATATATATATATATATATATATATATATATATATAATCGCAACTGTTTACCTAGAAAATGTTGATGGGAAAAAGCAAAAAGTTGATGGCGTGGTGCCGAAAGATGGTTTCGATATGATCTAGTCTCAATTAAGTTAGTCACAAGTGTTTTAAAAAATTTTACCGTTTATTTTTTGACTATTTTTTTTAATGTGTTGTGCTTAAAGAACGTTGTTTATTAAATATTAAATTAAAATATTTATTTTCAGACGAAAAAAAAAACTGGTAAACAATTTTATAGCCATAATTTATTTTTTTTCAAAAATAAATGCAAGTGTTCCAATTAAAGCGTTGTTCCAGTTTTGGCAACTCTACCCTATATAAAGCATCTAATTTTCGAAAAATGCATGTTCAATTATTTATTTATCTACGTTTAAATTTGCTTTTATTAATATTTCCTTTAGTAAAAGAAAGGGAGATTATTTCTTAATCTAATCTTTAAATTAAAGTATTTTATGCTAATTTTGTTAAGAAATAACAACCTAAATAAATTCATACTTTAGTCTACTCGGTGGGAAATTGGCAAGTAACTAGCTAACAGTATTCGTAACTATAAAAAAAGCAAAAAAGCAGGAAAATCATTTGCTAAATAAGCATGCTAGGCTAGCATGCTTATTTAGCAAATGATTTTCCTGCTTTTAAGATTTCCCGCTAGCATTGCTAGCGGCAAATCTTAACAATTATTAAAGCGATTAGGCATAATCATTAATAATTTGGCTGCGAATATAAAACAAAAATATGTTTAAAAATATGATATTATTAATTAATGTTCATGAAGTATTTTTATTTCTGGAATGTTTACTTGTGCTTTCCGTGCAAAAAAATTCTTTTTTTATTCACATGTTTAAGAAAAGTAATAGTTTTTTAAACACATTTTTTATAAAAAAGATACTATATTAACAACTTTTATTATTTCAACAATTTCTTTAAGTTAACCTTATTCAAAAATATAGTATAAAATACGTTTCCACAACTGTATTTTTACATGCACTTTCACAAACTTATATAATGCGTCAATTCAGCCTAAATTGACTTTATAATCATTTCTTGGTTTAAGGAAATGTATGCAATGCAAAACGTGCGAATAGAGTATAATAATATATACTCTAATTTGACGAATTCAATTTTTAATATTAATGTGCAAACAGGCAGAGACGGCTATTTAAGAAAGTAAATGTCTTTTAGCAGTTTTAAAAAATATTATTTAAAAATTACTCACTAAAAACATAAAAATATTATACTTAAAAAAATAAATATTGCTCAAAAATGGCTATATAGTTAACTATTCGCAAGCTTATTTCCCACGGAGTAGCTTTTGTTAAATGTATGTTTGTTTACCTGAACATCCATTTGTTAAAGTAAAGTTGTTTATGACTCCGGTCTGTGGTATAGTCCACGAATCCGATATGTATATTTGTACATTCTTAAACTCTTGCGGAGCAATGGTTTTGACTGTTGAAAGAACCCACCCATCAACATGGATCGTAAAAACATAATTACCCTGATTTAGGATCTGATTTATTCTATACTGCTTGCATCCTAATTCAAAAGGTTTTGAAATAAAACTATAAGTAGTACTATTTATCAACGCTGATATTTGCATTTCTCCTTTGGGAGAAAACCACATACATACCACGCAAGCTTTGCTACCACTAGTAAAATAAAACACGTTAGACAATGTAGACGAAAAATTTCCAGAAGTAAATGAAGTTAAGCAGACTTCAAATATTATTTCGTATTCTATTGGAAAAACGGCAATTGTTTGAAGAAGGTTGCTAGAAAGGATGTCAGTCTTGTTCACAACGGCAAACAACTCTGAGAACAAATCAAATAAAAAACGTAAAAAACATGTTTGTTTATATATGTTAAACATGTAAGAAGAGAAATTTACCTGAACATTTTTTTGTTACTAAAAGGTTTTTTATGTAACCTGATAGTGCGTTGTGCCAAGGGTCAGAAAGAAACATTTTAACATTGTTAAATTCTTTTGCGCCAGTGTTTTCTGTAGTAAATATATTTTTTCCTGATATGTTTATTGTAAAGTTATAGTATTGAGTTAGTTGCTGACTTATTAAATAATGACTGCAACCTAACGTAAAAGCACTTGCATAAGTTTGTGAGTAATCAAGATTATTAATTGATGCGTGAAAATTCATACCTCCATTTGTGTTGTACCATATACCTATAACACGCGTACTACTTTCATCGCTATTTCCTGTGTTGAAGTTAAAAAGGTTTAACCAAAAAGTTATAGAATTACTAGGAAATGATGTAAAACAAGCTTCAAATGTTATTTCATACTCTTTAGGAAAGACACTAAACGTGTTGAGAAGTTTGTTTTGAGTTATATCAGTTCGTTCTTTCAAACAAATCTAAAAAATGTTAAAAGCAAATATGTTGTTATACCAAAATTGAAGCTAAATACATTTTATACTTTAAAGCTAAATTCACTAATAAAAATCAAATATAATTTCAGATAAAGTTTGTTTTTCTGCTATAAAAAAATCTAACTTTTTTAACTGTTAATAAAATTAAAACTCTGAAATAATTGTTAATCAACCTATATTTAATAAATTTGTTGTCAGTAATAAAATTAAAAAGCTTTTTATTCTTTATCAATTTAAACAAAAACTAAATATAACACTTTTAAATAGTTACCAACTTGAGAACAATCATTAAAATTCTTTCAAAAGTGGCCATTATCAAAAATAATATATATATATATATATATATATATATATATATATATATATATATATATATATATATATATATATATATATATATATATATATATATATATATATATATATATATATATATATATATATATATATATATATATATATATATATATATATATATATATATATATATATATATATATATATATATATTATCACTGTTTTATTAGCCTTGATCTTAAAAATTACTATTTTCATTTACATTATTGTAATTAAGTAAAAGTCATAGGCTCTTAAGATTTAAATTTTATGTTTTATAGCTAAAACTTTCTTCTTTCGCAAAATTGAATGTTGAAAGGACCCGCTTTTTTATATATTTACAATTATCTATTGGAATATAAAGACCTGTTTTTTAGCTTAATAGCAATATGTAATTAAAAATAATTTTGATATATATCATAGAAATGTTTAGAAATTTGAACTTAGACTTTAAATAATCCCTAAGGGATTCAATTTTTCTAACACTTGGGTATCATCACATTCAAATTAGTAAAAGCTTTTATATTAATTTTAAAATATAAATTGTATACTTGAAATACCATTTATTTTTTAATTTGTTTAGAAAATTATAATTGTTTAGATTTTTTTGAAATTTCTTTTCCTTAAGTTAATGCTTTATATTTGTATTGCATTGACATTATTTTATACCATAAATGTAGTTTCTACTATTGAGAAAACTTTTATACCTAAACTAAATAATTTAAGAAAATACTGAAATTAAAAGTATTATTTTTTTTTTTTTTTTAGTTGTGCTAAAATAAAAAAATTATATTTTTTTTACATATCCTAAGTTGATGAATTGGGTGCAACTTTGCTGAAAAAAGAGTCAAGCATAAATGAGCTCTGTTTGATGAAACTAGAGTTAGCCTTTATAAGCAGTGACATTGATAGTATTTGTTGAAAAAAGAAATAGTAACAATTTTACGAAGATGGGAGAGAGGGTCAAGCTCGGTAAATAAAACAGGTCCGACTTTATTTGCAATGTCTTTCTTAGACTTGTCTAGAAAATTAATAGCATCATTAGAAGAACCAGGTTAGATATGAAAATATTACTTTATACAAGGACAAATGAGAGAGTAGAGACAAGACTCAAATCACAAAGTGAAAGAAAGTCATAAGGTTTGTCTGAAAACAAGACAGTTAATTAACTATTAAATAACAGATTAAAAAATACTGAAGTTTTGAGTTTTAAGGTTAGCAAGTCTAGTGGTATTAGAGCAAAGCCAATCTGTGAGCATTGAACTTACAAATAAAAAAAATATAAACAGAATGATAAAAAGATAGGGCATGCTCAATATGATCAGAAATTACATCTAGAAAAAGGCAGATTTGAGGAGAAGGAAAACGATATAGAAAAAAATACAAAAGTACGAGAGGTTTAAACGGATTGATATAAAAAGTTGTCATTCCGTTTAAATCTCTAATACTTGAATCTATGAAGAGGTTTAAGCGGAAAGACATTAAAAAATTGTTTGGTGGTTTAAACCTAATTTTTATACAAATAAGCAAATGGATGATTAAGTATACGCTCAAAGCAAGCATGCAATTATTGGAGTTTTTGAGAACCAAAGGGAAGTAGCCATCAATGCTGAAAGTTTAATAAAGAACGGCCGAATTTAAATTATTTTTACAAAGAGCAAGAAAGTCTGGCAAGTTTTGCACAGGTAGTATGAGGCTGACAGGAAAGTTACTTTAAAAACAGCGAATATAAATGAAAAATATATTAAAACAGTTAAATGAGATTGATTTAAATTAAAGAGTTTAAAGAAAGCCTGACTCATTTCTAGAAAAAGCATAGCATAACATGCAATGAGCTATGTAGTTGTCTCAGCTCTGCTAGTAACCTTAAGTCATAACTTAGGGCGTTTTATGTACTCTTGCCATTTTAAATATTAAATATTTAATATCTGTCCAAGGTAAGGATTTTGATGATACATGATCTATACCATTAAATTAATTATAAGGCCCAAAGGCAAGCAAATTTTAAGTCAGAATTTTTTTCAGCCTAGCCTTTGTCTAATAAGACAAACCCTAAAAGTCCTAGTATTATTCTCTAATAAAGGGGATAAAACTAGGTTAAATGATACCAGGAGCAGTGTAATTGCGATGATCCTTAAATAGTCCTGAATTGAAGTAGTTAAAAGAAGTTATTTTCTTTTTTTTTTAAACATTTAATAGGATATTTAGGAAATGCATTAAAAAATCATTAAATCTAAAGAAACAATAGAAATTATGAAAAGAGTAAGTTTCACTGTAGAAATAATTAGTTGGTAACTGAGCAAACAATACAGAGATTAATTCGTTATTTCGTTGTAGAGTTAGACCTATGCAAAGACTAAACTTTATTAATTTTTTTAAACTTGATCCTTAAGGACTAAATCACAAAATAAATTGTTTTTTAAAAGTTTGTTTTTATATACAACATTGATATAAATATAGAAGGAATTCTTTAACATCACAATGTAGTTTTTCCTATTAATTTTGAAAATTTTTTATGTATTGATTAATTTACAATAAAGACGTACTACATATATAAATATCGGCAGAAGCAACGTCGTTGATAAGACATTGATTGTCTTATCAACGAACCTCGTTTCCATATTGTTCGTGTTTATAAACAAAATATAAAATATACGCAAAACGTTTAAAATACATAAAACGTGAAAAATGCGCAATTTTTGTCAAATAAAAAATCAACTTATTTTTATTGATTTAAAAATAAAAGAAAAGTTTTTTATACTCATACACATATATGTGATACTCGTTTAGCAATATCTATTTAATGCTAATGTAAACGTTTTTCAATTTTAAAAATGCGTTTAAAAAAATATATATTAAAAATCTATGGCATAAAATTTTTTTTTTTTTTTTAATTTTTTAATTTAAATTTTTTTTTTTAATTTTTTATTTAGATGCCTCAAGTAGTCCTAACCGTCTTGTCACAGAGCACCACGGTAGTGCATTTAACTAGGAAGTTCACGCCTCCTTCCTTACCGTGACGCGAAATCTAATTGAAACGAAATTCTTTTAGAATTTGAACTTTTTAATAAAATTTTTCTATAAAACAATTCCTCGATAAAAACTCATTTTTAAATTAATTCTTTGAACAATTAAGTTATTCTCTGAACTCTTTGTTCGATACTTACGAGTTTTTTCACTAAATATAATTGAAATATAAGTGGAGATATTCGATTTGTCATTTTAAACATGTAAAATAATAATTGGTAAGTGTTTAGTTTATATATATTTAAGGCCTTGAGACGATTAAACAGTTCTTACTGCACCATTGCATGGGAAATAAAAATAAAGGAAAACTTAAAAAACTTTATAGTAAACAAAAGCATGCTTGTAGGATAGTTATTGCGGCAAACACAACTGTGTATTGCGATAAGTCAAATATTGTCAACTTATTAGGCTTGTGGAAAAGGATGGACTTAATAAATGTCCGTTTCTTATAAACTTTTCATTTATATAAGATACTTCTTCATTAAAAATTTTAAAAAGAATTTTTATATCTTTGTGTAAATAAAAAAAATTGCAATCATCAACAAACAATAAACAATATAAATTTATAAATGTTAAAATTGCAATTTCTAAACACAAGAAACGATAATGGTCCTAAGATAGATCCTAGGGGAACTCCGCAACTTTTACATTTTTTTTTTTCGGTTTTATTTGCTTCATTTGTTTCCTGTTAGTCAAGCGGTCTTTAAACCAAAGTAAGTTTAAGTTGTTTACTTCGTGAAGTTCTAGTTTCTTTTTTATTCTATTTTCGAATAGAAACATTTATTCGTCATTTATAAACATTTTACAACGTTCTTGTTTTACAATTTTCATCATTAAAATTAAAAATTATTAACAACAGGAAAAAGTAGAAGACAGAAGTCTAGTCATCAAGCCCCTATAATAAGCGTGAAATATTTTTTACAAATTTCTTTTTATATAAATTTACAAATATTCTTTATATAAAACAAGTTAATACATAATTACAACAAGAATACGATAAATTGCAAAATATTAAATAAATAGATACAGTAAAAAGTATAACAAGATTTTTTTTTTCAATTTAAAATACAAAAATATGTTTGTGTTGGTTAATTAAAGTAAATACTGTTTAACTATATTTTTCAAACAATTTACTAAAGTTATACTTTTCATATTTTCGTAAAGAACTTTGTTCCACAGAGGTCCTCAATATAAAGTTGAGTAATCAGATGTTTTATTAGTTGATTTAGGTAAATTAAAATTATGGATAGAACACCTTGTTAAGCATTTATAAAAAATTTCTAGAAATCGGTTGTTAAAGGATTTTGGAAGGATGTCATTTTGATATTTAAACATGAATAACAAGTTTTGCAACACGTTTAACTCATAGACATTAAGATAAAAATTTACGGATTAACGGCTTAGAGTGAGCGTATTTATGCACGTTACTTATAAATCTACTGGCTTATTTTTTTTGTTTAATATATTTGTTTATAATGCTGAAGCAATATTACAATAGCTTAAGCAGCGATGGATAAAAAAGTAAAATAAATTTATTATAAGTATTTGTTTTTTTTTGCATAATGCCTACAGTTTTAGAAATTTTGTTTTTAATTAGCCTAATATGATTTTTCCAATTAGGATGTTCATGAAATATTATTGCTAACGTTTTTAAGTGATGAAACTTTTTTTACTATCTTGTTATATATTATTAGCTGAGGAAGTCATCGGCTTTAGATTGGTGATGAAAGAAAATGTACTTAGTTTTAATGATATTCAAAGAGAGTTTGTTTGATTTAAACCAGTCATTAAAGTTTTTCTTCTCACGATTTACTGTAAATAAAATTGTTTTTATATTGGAATTGGTATAAAAAAGATTAGCGTCATCAGCAAAAAGAACAAAACTAATCATGTTTGAAGATAGGTAAATATCATTCAAGTAAATGATTTCCAGTGTCAAATGCTTCGAACAAATCAATAATTCATGACTTCCAGTGTCAAATCGAAGTATTTGACACTGGAAATCATGAAACCCATTTCATACTTCATAATTTCAAAATACCCATTTCATACTTCACACTTCATAATCATATAAAAAATCATTCTGCGGATCACGCAGTGATTGAACTTGTGTAACATATATTACACAAGTTCAATCACTGCGTGATCCGTTGAATGATTTTTTATATGATTATAAAGTGTATTGCTCATTATGCATTCTAGCATTTTAGAGAAACAAGGTTAGACACAAAAAAGTCTGTTTGAAACATTTCTTTATTTATCAGACTTGAAAATTGGTGTGATTATAGCTATTTTAAGTTTACAAGAACAATACCATACGGTAATATGAGGTTAAAAATGTGAAACAATAAGGGTTCAACAATATCAAAGATCGATTTAACTACATTGGCTTTAGTTTTGTCTATGTCTGCACTTTTTTTATTTTGCAGAGTGGAAAAAGCATTACGCAACTACTTATATTTAAATTTATTTCTGTCATAGTATTATTTGACGTTTTTTGGTAAGTTTCAAATTTTGTGGTACTTGATGGAATTTTTGACAGACTTAATTCACTCTCAAGAAAAAAATGTTTGAGCTTTTCAGCTATAGTTTCTTATTCATAAACAAATTTTTCATTAATTATCAGATTTTGTGGCAAGTTTTTTATAGTCAATATATACTTTTATATACTAAGCTTAAAGAAACGTCTTTAGTAAACTTCTATTAATTACTTTTTCTTCATAAAATTGTTTAATAAATGAGCAAAAAATATTTTAGTTTCACGTTAACATAAACAAAAAACTTTAAACAAATATGCGTATTTAAACACATTTTGTTTTCTTTTCTATATGAAAGCACTGTGTGCCATAAGACCGCCAGGTTCAACTTCTCCCCACCTCTAATTTTTTTTCATATAAAGACAAATGCTGCTTAAATATGTTATTTTTTTGTATTGGTTAAATTTAAAGTAGATCAGAAGTACCAAAAAAACTTAATTTTTTAACCCTGTTTACCCCCTTAAAGCAATAGCTACCCCCTTAAAGGATATAATAATCCCTAAAAAAAAATTTTCAATATCAATATCCTATATTCATCCTCCTTAAAATAAAATATAACCTATTATAAGTCTAAACTTAAAATGATTTAAACTTCTTATACACCATAGTCCCTTATAGTAATAAGAAGGAAAAAAAACAAATGCAATAAAAATATTAACACAACTACTTATATATTATAATATTTACAACTTATCTACGCAAAAAGTGTCTGTAGCAGATTTTAATCGTTTACCATAATCTGTATACCCAATCCTTCGCTTATATCGAGACCAACTTGGTTTAAAGCCACTGTGAACAGCCTCTCCAGTCTGTTCGTCATATGATCCTAAAGAACAAGAATTGAATTTCACAAATGGGAGAATATGGCAAGCAACTATATGCACTTTCCATGTAACATTCAGCTCTGTATTTAAATGTATTTTTGCATACTGCTGTAGGTCAAAAAATGATATCTTGAACTCTTCAATAACTGAAGAAACATTGCTGCCTAATTCTTGTCCAAAGTGCACTCTTTAACCTTTGAAAATTTTCTGAGGCAATGAACAAAAGGTATTAAATTAGTTTGAGATGCTAAAACATCTCTTTCTAAAATATCTACTTTTTCTAGAAATTTTGTGGCATTATTGCCATCAAAGCCTATCCCATGATAACCTTGGAGTAAAATATAATGTTCTTTGAGCCAATTTGTAAACAGAGGCCAATGATCTAAAAGTAGTCTACCAAGTATCGTTTCAATCCCCATAAGAAGATGTAATTCTGGTGGTGGAACTATGTGATTAATTTCATCATCAGGATTTTTATCAAAATAAACAAGACGGGGACTAATCACATTTTTAAAATCTTTCATCTGCAATCGCTTTGCCCCATTTTCAACAAATAACTTGTACCAATGATCAAGAGAACCTAACGTTCTGGGAGTACCACTTTCTAGGGAACATTCACCTTCACACCACAAGCAGGCATATTTACCGGAATGACAAGATAAACCGAAGAGGCTGTTAGCACATTTTAAGTCAAATGCAAGGTAATACGTAACGTCTTTAATCGATTTTAACGATTTAATCTACTCAAGATTTTATGCAGATTTCCATTGTCTTCAAAAACATATTCAACAATAGCAAGAATAAAACACTTCTTAACTCCACTGTCAATATACATCTCATTTTTATTGGCCTTATCAAAGACATTTACAATTACTTTAAGAAACCCTTGACCTCCATCAATGGATATACGTACCATACTGAAGAGAGGATTCAAGCTTCTTTCCGTTAAAATACTAAGAATAAATTCAGAAGTGTCATGAATAAATAATATATCTCTTGTGACAGTTTCATCAATCCAAATAAAATTATCTTGTTCTATTTTATATTTAGATTCAATTTCTTGTTGTAACGATAACATCATGCTAACTACATTGTTCTCAACAACAGTAGATGATCCCAGATTCTTACGCAGACTAGATATCAATTTTTTTGTTTGATTTTTTGTCAATTCCAGTATAGAAGTTAATTCCATAACAGTTTGGAATGATATCTGATTAAAAGATTTTCTTGAAGATTTGTTGTCTTTAGTTCCAACAGTTAAAGATAATGGATTCCCACCTTGTAAATAAACAATATTTAAATTATATATTTTTTTAAACTTATCCTTAACTTAAGTTACAATGCAAATGTTTCCAAAAGTTGTTAGCAATCAAAATAATTGCTTAATAATAAGCCTTATATCTATTGAGCATTTTATATGTGCTTTTAAGTTCTATATGAACATATTAATTTTTTTTTTCAACAATTATATAATGAAAATAAAAACTTACATACCTGTAGATATTTTAAAAGACTGGCCTCTCTCAATGCCTCCTCGCTTGTTTTTAATTATGCCTGAAGCAACTTGCTCGCATGATGTGGGACCAAGGTTTTCTGACAAATTAATTAGGTTCAAAACAGCCTGACTAGAACAACAGTTGTTATGACCTCCTGAATAATAAAATTAGCTCTTAAATTAATATACACTTATTAACCTTAAAAAAAAATTTTTTTTCATTGAAGTTTATAAATGAATATTTGACAACTTTTAACTTACTTATCAAGTAATTTAATCTTTATTCGTAAACCTTTTTCAAGGAGAGAAAAGCAGCAACTGCATATATTATCCTTTAGATGTCCTACAGCTTGTGTTTTAACATGAGATGATTGAATAATATCACAAAGTTCAGTACTGCGTCTAATTTTTGGTCTGTCAACCTAATTCAAAAATATAAACTTTATTAAAAATTTCTATTATTTATGTATTAATGATTTAACTTGAATAAATTATAAACTATATACTTGAGAAGCTTTACTCATCCAGTTTGAAAAATAAGTGCTTGATCCTTTCTCCTGCAAAAAGATGTTTCTTCTACAATTTGAACAAATTACGTCAGGGCAGACAGTAAATTCTTCATTGCACTCAGGCCAAATATACTCCTTGATTGTATTTGCTATGGATGGTTGTACTTTTGATAGTAATTTTGAATATTCGCCTTTTTTTTCCAAACAAACTGCACAAACAGATTGTTTCAAATCAGCCATTTTTACCGCTTTTTTATCTTTAGCTCCTTAAAGCCGTTTTCCACAAGACGAAAAATTCGCACGAAGCGAATATTTTCGTCGTTAAGCATGTGCAGATTAAACAATTTTGGCGATTATACTGATTTTTTTTCGCTACAGCGTTTCGCTTCAGCGGAAAAAAAAGTCGGATTCATTTCGACTTTTTGCGAATCGCCATAAGGGAAAACCTATAAAATTTTGAATATTATATCACGTGATGTCAACATTAAAAAAAAGCGAAAACATGTTTTTTTTTTTAAAGTAACAAAAAACAAAGTTCTTAACCTGGCGTTCTTAATAATTTTATATGAACTTACTCTGAAAATTGGCCAGCATGAGTAAATTTATCAAACAAGGGGCAAGACTTACATAAAAAAATGACCAGACTTATATATAAAACTAAATCAAAAATTTACAAATATAAATTTTCACACTGTCAATAACGAAAGTTACACTTCATAAGAATGTTTATCTTCAAGTGGCCACACGAAGATATACCTTTTTGTGAAAAATTCTTTATAGAGTTAAACCTGCTGTTCGTTCTTGCAGTAATAGTTTTTAATAGAAATGTTAATACTAGAGTTTAGCATTTATTTTCTTATACTTTCTTGTAAAAAAAAATCTTATATTAAACGATTATATTACAAAATAATATCACTTCTTACATATAAAGGCAGAAATGTTAATACTAATGCACGGAAAGAAATTTTCACATGCTTAAAAGTAGAAAGCATGCTAAAAAAGTATTAACTGCTTTAAGTTAAACATATAGCGTAAACTTATTGCTGCCATTTTTATTTTTGACAACGAAAAAAAAGTAGCGCGAAAGAAAGTAAGTGGAAATCAAAACAGCGTTTCGTCGTAGCGAAAAAATTCGCTTCGCGCGAATTTTTCGTCTTGTGGAAAACGGCTTTTATCACTTCAAAATTATTAAAAAAAAAAAAGAAGCCAAAAATGGTGAATTACCTCGTTTTTAAAGCTAAATTTTTAGTCTTTTTTACTGTTTTAAAACTTAAATTACAAACTCTTCTGATCAACTTCAGATTTTATTTGCACTTAAAATACACTTATACAAACTAAATTTACTTAAAAAAAAAAAAAATATTAGAAGTGGTGAGAATTCGAACTTGACGGTCACTGTATGAATATGGCTCACTGTAAAAGTTTACTATTGAAAATTTTAATTATTAATATTACATTACGCATAGCACTTATTGTATGTTTCAATAAAATTTAATTATTACATAGTAGCGTGTGCCAGAAAATAATATCGCACAGAGTCTTAATTTATGACTTTGATAAATTAATTATTAATTTATTGCTAAAGGTTTTTTATCGCTAAAAACACGCAAGCGTAATAAAAGCGAGCCTTGAATGAAAAAAATTAATGACGGGCAAACGTTAGCACTCTGACGGGGTCTTAATAGCGTCAAAATATTTTATGTAACCAATAAAGTACTTATATAGGTATGGTGGAGTACAAATAAAGTGTACGAATCTACGACATCTTTCGCATGAACTTTTGCTGAGAACACTGAGTCTTAAGTGCTTAGGAATAAGGAATGACCACTTACACTCATAGAATGTTAAAAACATTCTACGAGTGTAAGTGGTCATTCCCACAACATAAAGTCAGTGGGAAGACAAAGATCAACAAATTTTGATTTATAGAGATTTTCAAATTACAAAATATAATTTAATCAGTACAATATAATGTAAAAATATGATCAGTTAAAAGTTGACATTTTTAAAAATATTCGTCAAAGTAACGATTAGGAATAAACCAAACAAACAAATAGTGATTCTTAGGCCTATGTGCAATACATATAAAGTGTTTTAAACTTTATATTTTTAAAAAACAATCAATAATTGTCTTTTATGAGCTTGTAAACCAATGACACCTTTTATGTCTCTCAATGAGACGTTTTAAATCTTTAAGAGCCTATGTTAAGTTATCTCAAAAGTAAGATTAAGATGGAAGCCTTTACTTTGCTCAAACTTGGTACTGTAGCGTATATTTTTCACGGCAAGTGAGCGAAGTTTTGCTTTAAAAGATTGGATGAATTCTTAATCAATCTGTTGGGTGATCATAGTTTTGTTTGGTGGAAGAAAGATAAATTCCACACATTCAAATTTCTGCAAGTAAAGAAATCCAAAAAAAAATTATCATTAATTAAAGTAGTTTTCCTTTCATGTAAACTAAACTTTTAATCAATTTTATTAAACCACTCCTCAAACAATTTTGCTGACATCATACTTTTGGTTGGGCCTGACAGCAACAAGGGATGCTTTTTATTTTATTGAAAAATATAGGAGAATTTAATTTTCCAATTACAAACATTAAAAGTCTTTTTTTTCTAACATTATCCGCGGCCACCTCAGTCAGGCAAGTTTTACTATGCTTGCCTCCTGTGCAATTTCGTTTTTTAAATGTAAATTTTTGTTTGACAAACATTAGTAAAAAAAGCCAAACTCATCGGCATTAAAATTATTTAATTATTAAGTTGGTATTAAGAGAGAAATTTAGGCAGTGAGGTTTTTAGTCACGGAGCGATCATTTACAGACTCGTTAAAAACTTTGCATCTCCAGAAACGGCTTTGAATTATTTACTATACCATCAAAAAATACTATATATGCTTAGACGTGACTTGTACGTATGTTTAAATATAACTTTGACGTATTTTCAAGTATTGCAAACTTTGAAATAAGGCTTAGACGGTTCAACATTCTTTTTACGCGTCAGAAATTAAAAAAGTTTGATTTAAAGGATAATTATTACTTAAGGTTATGAAAAATTTGTTCAAGCTATGGAGGTTTTCCAATCATAGCAATTTACATAATAGATTTTTTAACGTAACAGTTTCTTAGGCGCATTTCACGGTGACTTCAAAGTTGAACATCAAATTATAAAGGTTTTCAAACTACGTAATTAAGAATTAGTTTGACAAAAGTGCTAGTAACTGCTAGTAAAGTATCGTCAATAGTTTCAAAGAGATTAAAGAAATCAAGCAAATATCTTTAAGATTTAAAACTAAAATCATTAACCGCTAAAAAGATAGTTCAATACTTAAAAACTTTTATTTAATAGGTTGAACTTTAATTCACTAAAATACAGTTTAAAAGACAAATTGATAAAAATGGAATAATAATGCCTTTTTTAGAGCACTTAACTTGAAACTTAACGCCTCTTTTTTTACCAGTGGTGCTTTTGTTAAAATATTCGATATTGTTAAAATATTCAGATATTTTTACAAAGTCACTTAAACGATAAATGCGTTTTTCAATGTATTTACATACAACTGCAGCAATTTTAACAACGTAATCCCATTAAAGGACGTAGTGGGATTTCTTCAAAAACTTTAAAACTGCATGGTGAATAATATCGAGGACCTGACTTTCTTTTTTGGTTATAATTAGATCAAGAATGCTGCTTACTGTAATTTCATCAAGTTGAAAAGTGGGCTTAGTATATTGTATTAGAAACGACTAGGCGAGGTTGTCAATAAAATCACTTCAAAGTATATCTGTGATGCTAGCAGTTGAAATAGTGCTCAAATCCCAGGTAATCCTTGGCAAATTAAAGTCTCCACAAATCAACAAGCCACTGTAAATATTAGAGAGAAGTTCATTTGCTTTAATAATGGCCGCTTCAATATTCTCGAATGGATCCAGCATGTGCGGCCTGTAAATGCAGCCCAAAAGGATGTGTTTGGAACCATACGATGTTTTGCGCCATATTTGTTCAGGGGAATCTAATAAAACAATTTCGCTCACTTCATTAGGTTTTAACGATGTGTCGACATAAATAGCCAACCCACTTCCTCTTCCTAACATATAGTTTTTAATGTTAATTATTAATGATTCATGCCACCAAGTTTCTTTAACGTAGATTATTTTAGGCTTGTATGTCTCAATTGATGCTAGAAACTGTAGCATTTAATTGTTAAGGATGTAGCATTGGTATAACAGCATGTTATTTTATAGAAAGCTGACTGTTGTAGTAGACTGATAGTTGAAAGTGATTTATGCTGTAAAAGAATGTCGTTTAGATTCAATTGTCATTATATGGTTATAAATTTCTTAAAGTTGATTGCTATTTATTAACTTTACCACAGCATATTACGAATAACGTAGTAATGACTTGCCGTCACCCAGTTGTTTTTTTAAATTGAGAGGCTCATTTTTTTTTTTCAACTCATATTGTAATTGTCAATCTTGCCTTCTTTGTGCTTCTATCAGATCTGGATTAACGTAGATACTTTCAAATTTACGCCGGGCTGCCTTAACTATACTATTTCTGATTACAGTTTGTCGTCTCGATTTTAATAGCGCGATTTTAAATATCTTTTTACCGTAAGCAAAAGCATTTTATTATATTGTCAGACTAAATTTTAACGTTGATTAGAAGCTCTTTTATTTTGTTCTTATCGTCTACGTTAGGTTCTGTGTGTTTGTGTCGTTCTGTTCTGTGTTTTGTTCTGTGTCTATGTGCCGTTATGTTCTGTGTCTATGTGCCGTTATGTTCTGTGTCTGTGTGCCGTGTGTTTTAGAGGCTCTTATACAAAATTATATTAAACTTACATTTTTTTAATTATTCTTTTCAAAATATAGAAATGGAAAAAAAAAAAAAAAAAAATTTTTAATTTGTTCTCAATTGTCCGTTGTGAACTAATTAAATACTAAAAATACTTGTTTTCTTAAAAAGTAATTTACTCCATTAACTATGAAAAATCCCTCGTTTTAAAAACTCAGTATTTTATTGTTAACCTTTATTTTATTGCCAACCTTATATATTTGTTTTATTGTTAAACTTTATTTTATTTATTTTATTATTAACTTAACTTTGTTGTTAACGTTTAATTAGTTTATATTATCCACCAGTATTTTATTGTTAACCTTTTAGCTTTATTTTCATTTTTAAATCTTTTTTAACAAAAATAACAATAGATTGTTTTTAACATAGTAGTAACAGGCTCCTATAACATTATA